AAAGAACCTCCTGCTGACTATGCCATCAGCACACCACCCTCTATCTTGTAATGTAAGGTGACACCAATTACTGCAATTTTCATGAAGCAGTAAAGAAAAATATTAATTTTGCATCTTTATTATTGAAATATGTCATTACTAAACTTACACCAAACGGCCGTCATTGGTGTGCATATGTTTGTCACCTAAATTTTACCTAATCAAAATGAATGACAGAGAAACTAAAACTGAAAGTGAGCACAAGTTAAGGGACCACATCTAAAGCCCAGCCCTGTCACATCAATTATACCACCACAGTACTTGAAATGACAACAAAATTACAGCCAGCAAGGCACTTGCCCACATATTCTCTTCTAGTCAGATACCTTTCACTTCTTGTGACTATGAAAGACTTTATACCTTGTCTGATGGCCTTAAATGTCCAAGCCACTGTCAAGTATAGGAGGCACAATATAAGAGAAACAAGGTCACCCATGCTTTTATCCAGGAATATGGTATAGAATGATATGGTCCTAAATTCATAGTAAAGAAATAATAATAGGTATCTTCTTTTTGTGTGTATAGAAAGATGCCAAGTTCTTCCATGATACAATATCATCTGTTAGCTCTTACATATTAAAAGATTAACAAGAATCACATATTTGTTAAAGCTTTTAAACATTATAAAGTTTTATGTAAAGCCACGTGACTTTAAGACAGATTGCCTCTTTAAGGAAATTTAACCTAATACATTTGTCACATAAAACAATCTCAAAGCAAGATAATATAGTCGGTAATATAGTAGATTTGCTTTTTTTTTTTTTTTTAAGAGACAAGGTCTTGCTCTGTTGTCTAGGTTGCTAATCCTCTCCTCTCAGCCTCCCAAGCAGCTGGGACTATAGGTGCACGCACCACCATACCTGGCTAATTTTTTTGTTTTTTGTACAGACAGAGTCTCCCTATGTTGCCTAGGCTGTTTTCGAACTCCTAGCCTTAAGCAATCCTTCCACCTCAGCCTCCCAAAGTGCAAGGATTACAGGCGTGAGCCACTATGCCTGGCCTAAATTTGCCTTTAAAAGTGCAGAACAACTGGGATGTATCAACATTTTGAAAGCAACTGCCAACTAGATTTGTTCTCATTTACACAACTATCTTTTGAGAATACTAAGAAATTAAAAATAACGTTTATTCTCAGGTTAAGACAACTGAAATCTAATCAAGTCTGAAAAATCTGTGGTAAGTATTATTACATGGTATATGCTAAAGAACAAGATTTAAAGAAATAAAGAAAGAAAAATCACCCTTTCTAAAAGGCTGCCATGATGGGTCCAAAGACAGTAAGAAAGAATACAAATTTAGACCAAAACATTATGACAAGTGAATCAATCTAAGGCTCTGCCTACTCCAGTCAGCCTAAAATATCAACTTTCAACTTTGCTTTTATTTCTAACAGTTCAAATTTTCCCTAAGATTCATTCCTCTTGCCTCAAAATAAATTATCCCCAGAACACGAATGATTTAATTGTCTGTGAAAACTTTTTTCTTTTTATACAGATCCAGACTTGACTT